ATAAGATCTTCATGTTACTGCTGTTGATGACTTAATGACTCCATTGCCAATGATCAAGATGAATCTGTTGAAAGCCGGGATTTTCCCAGGTTGTGAAAAAGATTGTTGCCTTTGTTCGACCTTGCAATCCGACTGTCCTCTATTGAAGTCAGGCATCCAACGCCTGATGGATACTCAAGAAATCCTCTTCAAGAAAACTCATGTTACTCCTGTTACTCCAATCAATGATGTTTCTATAATCACCATTTCCGACAATCTTTCCAAGGTCTCCAAAAGACCTGTTAAGATTACACCCGATCTAAAGTGTGTACTTCTGAAGATTACTATGCCGGGGCCTATCCCATATATGTCCAACAAGACAATACCGTGGAATTATGTGAAGAAGTGAAAAACACAAGAAGGTGGGTTGAATTGTAAAACTGGAAATCAAATGCAGACAACACATTATTTTTATCCTGGTTCGTTTGACCTCAAACTACTCCAGTCCACCCGCCAAGGTGATTTCGCCTCTCTCCAACGAGGACTTAATTCACTATATTCAGCTGAATATTACAACTGCTTTAGCAACTGCTAAAGCCTTCTTGAGTCCGAAACCACAACCCAGTTCCCTCAAGGAAATTCACTAAACAGATAATTGTATATAAAAGTGTACAGAGGTGTTTCTAAATAAACAGTATCACAAACTTGTGATGTATTACACAGCTTAATATTGTATTGATGAAGATGAAGAATGTTTGTAGCTTTACTGACTTTTCACGTTTTTTGTCGTTGTTCATCTCTACTGAAATCTTCTTCTAGTCTTCTTTATATAGGGTTTGCAATAGAGACATAAGAGGATACTTTTGGTATGTCCATAACACGCGTTTAATGAGCTTTCTAAAACAGGAGATTCTTGTCTGTTTGTAGCCGTTGCATATGATCTTGCATTGATGGAGTTGTAAGGCTTGAGAGACAGTATCAAATATTCTGTTTTGCTGCGTTGGTGCATTCAGAAGTTCAAACAGAACTTCTTCATATAAACGTGTTATGCATATTTGATGCTGCTGAATCTTTCATGGTCCACTTAACTTCTGTGCTTGCATAATCATAACTTTTGATGATGTTCTGGCAGATCTTCCAGTTGGATTAGAACATCTTTTTCACATCAGAACTTCTGCATGTAAAGATACTTATTATTAGCAAGCATATTTGTTCTTTATATCATGTGTTTGTCATCATCAAAACTCTTGTTGGGCTGTAGAACTAAATTATGTTCTAACAATCTCCCTCTTTTTGATGATGACAAAAACTAGTATATTATGATGGAAAATAAAGAACAAAAATTAAAAGGAAGGCTCCCCCTGAGTAGAGTACTCAGCTATGAAGAAAATAAAATAAAATACTTCCCTGACGATCTTCTGATTATGAGTCAACACAAAATATTCTCCATTCTCCCCCTTTTTGTCATGAATCAAAAAGTGGTAAAGACTCTTATTGGCTTGCTCTGACAGAAGTGCTTTAAACAGTGTGACATCCTCTTCTGGATACTTCTGAGATACTTTAGAGAGATTTTGATTCTGTTTTCCATTCCTGTTTCAAATAGTTTCAGAGACAGTAATCTTCTGTTTCTGATTGCCTCTGAAACCTGCGAATCTTTTAAATTCCAGGCCTTGGAACATACGCTTTCTTTCCTCTATGTGTAGACAGCATCCAGAGTCCAGGTGTTAATACTGGAGTTTCAACCTTGCTATTAAAAATACCTGCAACATAGATGATTTTGTCTTTTGGTACCCATATCTTTCAGGGTCCATGACTGTTAGAGTTTCCAAAATTCTGTTTGAATTTTGGTTTAGTATGAAACGCCTTACCAACATGTTTGATATCGTGTGTTTGTTCAGTGGTGAAGTGATAATAGAGAAAAGTGCATTTGATAACCAAATCCTTAACTGTCTTAGGTTGGGATTCTTTTCCTTTGTATCCTATACCTATTCTGCAATTCTTGCTGACTCCATAGATCATTGAAGCCATTTTACTTCTATCTATGTTGTTAGTCATAAACTTCTGAAAGCTTTGATCATATTCCTTTATGATCTTATCAGCATTAATGGGATCCTCTGAGATTATTTCCTTCTGAGAGTTTTGTAAATTATTTTCTAGTTTTGAAATTTTTTCTTTTAACTCAGAGTTTTCTAATCTCAGACTCTCAGTTTCTTCAGAGTCAGAGGCAATATCCTTTTTCAGGTTCTTGCATTTGACTCTGAGCTGCTGATATCGTTCCAGAATCTCGCTCAGACTTTCTGCAAGATCAGTTTTAGACAGATTAATTGCAAAGTTAGGGAATACCTCTTCAGTGTGTGATTCTGAGTCTGAACCAGAGGCTTCACTGTCTTCTGATATGTTTTCCATGAGAGTTATGTTTTCTCTTTCATTATCTGACTCTGAGTCAGCTTCAGAGGTGTCTGAATCGTCCCATGTTGCCATGAGGCTTTTCTTCTTCTGCATGTGCTTCCATAGGTGATTGATTCTTCTAGATAGAGAAGACAGTTCTTCTTCTTCTGATGAGGATTCTCTTAAGTTTTCCGCTTCTGCTTCTGCCTGCAAAATTTTGGTTTCATATTTGTTAGATTTCAGAGCGAGAGACTTACATTGCTTTTGAGGCTCATCATCTTCGAGCTCTATCTCGTGACTTCTGAGGGAGCTGACAAGTTCCTCCAGAGAGATTTTGTTGAGATCCTTAGCTAGCTTCAGCGCTGTGACCATTGGCCTCCACTGTTTTGGTAAACTTCTGATGATCTTCTTTACATGATCAGCAGTTGAGTACCCTTTGTCCAGCACCTCTAGCCCTGCCACCAGAGTTTGGAATCTAGAGAACATTGTTTCAATGTTTTCATCTTCTTCCATTCTGAAGGCTTCGTACTTCTGAATGAGCGCAAGGGATTTGGTTTCTTTTACTTGCAAGTTTCCTTCATGTGTCATTCTTAGAGAATAAAACATGTTCTTAGTTGTTTCTCTGTTTGTGATCTTCTCATACTCTGAATATGAGATGGCACTCAGGAGAATCGTTCTGGCCTTGTGATGATTTCTAAAATCACGCTTTTGCTGATCAGACATTGCTTTCCTATCAATCTTCTGACCGCTTTCAGCAACAGGATGTATGTATCCATCAGTTACCACATCCCAGAGGTCAGCATCATAGGCTAGGAAGAAACTTCTGATCATATCCTTCCAGTAGTCAAAATTTTCACCGTCAAATATTGGAGGACTAACGCTGATGTTCTGACTCATTCCCACCATAGTGTTTTTCTTACGCTGGATCTTGTACTGACACGGTTAAGTGTTAAAAGCTCAGAACCGGGCGCTCTGATGCCAATTGAAGAAGTGAAAAACACAAGAAGGGGGGTTGAATTGTAAAACTGGAAATCAAATGCAGACAACACAGTATTTTTATCCTGGTTTGTTTGACCTCAAACTACTCCAGTCCACCCGCCAAGGTGATTTCGCCTCTCTCCAACGAGGACTTAATTCACTATATTCAACTGAATATTACAACTACTTTAGCAACTGCTAAAGCCTTCTTGAGTCCGAAACCACAACCCGGTTCCCTCAAGGAAATTCACTAAACAGATAATTGTATATAAAAGTGTACAGAGGTGTTTCTAAATAAACAGTATCACAAACTTGTGATGTATTACACAGCTTAATATTGTATTGATGAAGATGAAGAATGTTTGTAGCTTTACTGACTTTTCACGTTTTTTGTCGTTGTTCATCTCTACTGAAATCTTCTTCTAGTCTTCTTTATATAGGCTTTGCAATAGAGACATAAGAGGATACTTTTGGTATGTCCATAACACGCGTTTAATGAGCTTTCCAAAACAGGAGATTCTTGTCTGTTTGTAGCCGTTGCATATGATCTTGCATTGATGGAGTTGTAACGCTTGAGAGACAGTATCAGATATTCTGTTTTGCTGCGCTGGTGCATTCAGAAGTTCAAACAAAACTTCTTCATATAAACGTGTTATGCATATTTGATGCTGCTGAATCTTTCATGGTCCACTTAACTTTTGTGCTTGCATAATCAGAACTTCTGATGATGTTCTGGCAGATCTTCTAGTTGCATTAGAACATCTTTTTCACATCAGAACTTCTGCATGTAAAGATACTTATTATTAGCAAGCATATTTGTTCTTTATATCATGTGTTTGTTATCATCAAAACTCTTGTTGGGCTGTAGAACTAAATTATGTTCTAACACTACAAGAAAATTAGTGTTTAACGACACAAAAATTGCGACAGTTATGTGATAACTGTCGTAATTGACATATAGAGACAGTTTTTACGACGGTTGACACCAACCGTCCCTAATATTTATTTTGCGACGGTATATTTAACCATCATAATATTATTATTACGACGGTAAAACAACCGTCGGCCCCCATTTAACACTTTTAACATTGATTTTTCACCAACAACTAGTCACGACGGTAAAATTAACCGTCCTAAAAGGCATATCACGACGGTAAAGCACCCGTCGCACCCTTAAACCTTTCACGACGGTAAAATTATCCGTCCTAAAATTTATTTCACGACGGTAAAACAACCGTCGCACCCAAAACCTTTAAAAATTCTTTTTATGATTTTTTAGGTTTTCTAATTTGTTGTTTTAGGGTTTGATTTGATTATTAGATTAAATATGCAATAAAATGTGAAAGGCTAACCTCTTAGCATTACTTCCTCTCTCTATGATTCCTCTTTCTTTCTTCTACATTTCTCAAAACTGGAACTAAAAAACTCCAATTTCCTCTTCAGTTCATGACAATCCCGCAACAACAAAAAAAGACAGAACACATGAGGTTTACCAACACGATTCCAACTTGTGTCGATGGATAATTTGGCCGGCGGCTTTGGTGTGTGTGACGATCGGAGTTTATGGCCGAAGCAATAGCGGCGGCCGGTGGTAGTTGAGAGGATGATGGCGGATTGTTGAGCAGCAGAGGGACCTCACATCGGCTGTGTATGCTATGTGGAGAGAGACAGTGTGCGTTGTGGTTGTGTGGGTCATACGGAGGTGGCTGATGCAGAGAGGGTCTCTATGTTTGCGGAGATGTGGCTATGACCCAACAAGGGCACCATTGTGGTTGGTGACAGTGACCAGTTATGCACGGTGGCTGGTCGGTGGTGACATTATGTATGGCGTGGATTCGAATCTGTATGTGTCGGTCTCGAGGTATCATTCTGGCGAACAAGCTTTTGGTTTCTACTTCAATATCCTTTCTTTTGCATATAGAAACTTGGATTATATTTATGTGTTATGATATTGTATTATGGTTTTTGACAGGTTGTATGAATTAATGGTGATTTGTTTTGACAAGTTTGGCTTTCTGCAAGATATAGCGATCAAAACCAAATTGATATATATTTTGCTTGAGCTCCTTGATGATTCTGGTCAAGTTGGAGAAGAGGCTTCCTTTGCTTTTTCGAGTTTAGTTGCTGGAAAGGAAGATTTACAGAAGTTAGCATTTGAGGCGAATGCTATAGACAAATTCTACAATCACTTGCAAAATCCTGAATTAAATTCCAAGCGTCTTGAAGGGATATTTCTAGCACTGGGCGATCTTTGCTCAAAATTGGAATGCTGCAGGTCGAGGTTTATGTCATTGCAGGTTTGTTGTTTCTTGGACACTACTAGCTAATCTCATGTATTTGTTACTAATAGTTGATTTTGTAATCCCCCTCCCAATTTCATATACAACCGTGTTCTTTGCTGCAAAAGTGACAGGTGAAAAAAAGAAAAACTGTAGTTATCCTTTCTTATGATTGGGTTCACACCGAAGTAGTTAATTCGAGATTTTACGCAAAATTTGAAAGAGGAAGTAAAATCGTAAATCGTGGAATCGTAACATTAATTGCAAGATTATACAAAATTCTAAAACTCATGTTTATGCATATAGCATTATTACTAAGATTGGGAGATGGTAGCAAGATCTTAAAACATAAGATCATAACTAAGATCGGAAGCTCCCACCCAATTATTTTGTAAGATCGTAAAATATAAAATTGTAACAAAAATCACAAGATCCTACTAAAACAAAAACTAATACTATATATTTGAAATATTTTTACACTATTTTGGCAGGCTAGTGTATTCGTGAAAATGACCCTCTTTCATATTCTTTATACATGTATGATTGTGTTTTTATGTCTTATTATCATTTTCCGCAATCAACACTTTTTAGAGATTAGGGACATATTTTCCCATTACTTGGTTTACCATAAGCCAGTTTATTTAAAACCAACCCTACAATTGTTATGTTTATTCTCTAAACCCTAAATCTAAAAACTCACCATTTCAAAAGGCATGCATTCACTGCCACCAAATCGTAATTGTTGTGCATTTGCATTTGTCATCCTTCTCGGCTGGTAATGGTGGTGGCCGGAAAATGGCCAATTATGGCCAGAACTGGATGGGATCGCGCAAAATCAATCAACGTTGTCATAAGGCTAGGATTTTGGAGCGATCTTACTACAGTACACACTTTTACTTAAGATTTGGTTCGTCGGTGGTGAATGAAGTCGTAAAATCTTAAGATTTTAAGATCTAGATCGAGATCTTGACAACCATGATTATTACGACAAGGAAAACCTTAAATCACTTGAGATACTTGTGTAAATTTAAATTCATAAACATAGCTCACAAGTTATGTAAAACCTTAAATCACACTTCAAATATTCATATAAATTTAAATTCAGTCATTCATTAGCATAATCGTTTCAAAGATCGTAAGATTATACAATTCAACAGTTAAAATAGAGGATTCTTCTTGATTCAACTAAAATAGGATTATGCGTATACTCATAATCGCTGAGGGAAAGCATAATTGCAAAATCGTGGGATTTTATAATTCAAATTGGGATTTTAACTACCATGGTTATCACAACAATCATATTGAAGGATGAGAAGTGACAGGAGATGTGTGTGAGATGATAAGCAGGGTTACAAGTTAGGAGTACTGATACTAAATAACTTGAAGTTAGATTTCAACAGAAAGATTTCTCTTTATTTTGTAGAACACGTGAGAAGCATTAAGCATGTCTTCTTTCCCAAGACTAGATGGGCCTAAAGTTATTTTCCGTATCAGTTTTAGTTTAAGCATTAGCCACTCTTTAAGGGGTTTTTTTCCTGTTTAGGGGATGTACGCAGTCAGCAATATTGCAAGTGGAAACGAGTTTCATAAAGAAGCCATAATGCAGATGATCTTTCCACAAGCAGAAAGTGGACCTCAGTCATTCTTGAGTCAGTATTTGCAGAGTAATGACAGCCGTCTACGCACATCTGCTGCTTGGATCATAGTAAATCTCACTGCTCCTGCAAGCCCCGGTGCATTTGGTCGGATTGCAAAACTGCGCAATTTTGGCCTTGTTGCTCAAATCAAGAGGATGGCCAGTGACCCTTGCATGGATGTTAAGGTCCTTTAATCTTTATATCAAGTTGTTGTCTTTTTAATACTTTCTCTTGGTCAATTTGTAAATTTTCTTTTGTTGATGCAGCTTCGAGCACGAGTTGCACTTGGGCAGATTATTTCTTTTGGTGATAGTTAAATCAATCAGTTCCTCCTTTTAGAGCACCTTATAAGTTGCTCCTTCTGCTTCCAGCTTCCAAAACGGTATGCTTCAGTGGTTTACTTCAACAACTTTGTCTCTCCTAGAAGTTCCTTTCTAGATATTATTTTAATAGGTTATGTTTATAAGTGGGGTAATTTTCATCTTAAGCTGGTTTTGTAAGATTGAGTTACACCAAACCTAAATTCTAAGATATGCAATTGAGAAATGGAATTAAATCTGATAAAGCTGGTTGTCGTTCTCTATGAAGCACAAATACGGATACCTGACATGATATCGATACTGACATGTTGACACTAGTGATAATTAAAAAACATAAATAAATTGAACGTAATCACATGCGTGAGTGTCGGACCCAGACACACATTTTCTCACAAGTGTCGGTGCTACAATGATCGTTCTATGTATGGGATAAATATTGATTTTTCTTTCTCTTGCTCTGCTTTGTTCTAGTGTGTTGTTTCACTTGAAGGTTTTGTAACATGTTCTATTCTATTCTAATGTGTCCAATTCGTTAATGCTTTTTAAATGCTTCCATTTGCAGGTGCATCAATTTGCTTTTATTTTTTTCAACCAGTCAGAGCAGTGTAAATCTTTTCAATTTTGTAAGCACTCCTGACCCGGTTACCATTCCCTCCCCCAAAGTCTATTATTTCTTGTGAGTTGGAAGCTCAAAGTAGATTTACAGGCTATACAGTATTTGTACCATGTGAGTAGTCAGTGTCGATTTTAGAACTTAGTTTCAACTTCATTGCGGTTCTGATGCAGTGACAAATAGTGGAGTTTTATGGGTAAGCAAAGTGCTGAGGGGTAGTGTTTGAAGGTGTTTCTAGTATTCGTGCATACCTTGTAACTTGTAAACTAGTTTTGTGGTTCATAAATTGCTTGTTCTCTTTTCGGAGAAAACAGATGACTCAATTTTGTTTGAACCTAAATAATGCTTTGTTATTTACAGCTAAATGATGCCTTCTAAATGGGTCCCGGTGCATTTTCTGGTCATGAATATATATGACTGACATGACATGAGGCTCTAAACTATTTAAGCTATTCTTTGTGCTGAGCTTCTAATTCATCACAAAAAGTTAGGGGCAATTCACGCAGTTGAAGGCTCTAGGGAATAGCAAGCGCTAAACCTAGAATAGAAAAACAAAGTTAGAAGTACAAAATTACAAAATCTGTCAAATAAGCTGGAATCTACTGTTGAATGCTTCCAACTTTGAGATTATTGCTGAAATTATTGTGGTTTGTGGGGTTGGAAAGCATAGAAGTGAAAAAGGGGAATCATCAATTAAAGCATTGGGTCAGAAGATGTTGATGGAGATGAAAAGTCCACTCAGGATTGATAAAAGGAAGATGGATGTTTTGTTGGTAAAGGTAAAGCTGTTAAAATCTGGTTATGTGAATTGAGGAAGCCATGCTTTTGCTTCTATATATGATGTTATGTGCTTTCGCAGACAACAGGAAGCCGAGGAAATTCAGGGCCTGTTTGTGGTTCTAAAATAAATGAGTTACCTAACAACCATTCATCAAACACACTGTCTAGGAGTGAAGTTATTGCTTCCAAATGGTAGTCAAGGAAGGATCATGGTCCTAGCATGGAAGTTTAACACAAAATCACTTAACACTAAGGACTTTCATGAATTTTGTAGAATATTGTAACATTTTTTGTAATTCTCTCAAGTTGTAGCAAACCAATGTAAATATTAAAATGAAATTTGGCCTTTGATGATATTTGAATTTTTCTTGTTTATTGGTAAAATTTGCACTTCTTTTTACCTTTGATCACATTTTTTTTGATATTATTGATGATTATTTGATATTAAATGTTTTTATTGTAATTAACTTTATTATGTTGAAAAGTGATAGAAAATAAAATAAAAATACTATAAATAAAAAAATATTAAAGTAAATAATAATTTAAATATAATAGTAAAATAATATTATATTTAAAATTATTTTACTAAATAATAATTTAAATAAAAATATTATTTGAAATTTATAAATCAGATTACGACGGTTAAAACCGCCGCAATTTCTAACCTATGGCGGTAGAATAACCGTCGCAAACAACAACAAAAACAAAAAATAAAGTCAAATTCACGACGGTATATAACCGTCGCTATCTGTTGTGCGTGACAGTTTTTGCAACCGTCGCGAAATAGGCTGGGGACGCACGATTCTGCGACGGTACTTCTACCGTCGTAGATTGTAAATTGCGACGGTTTTAACCGTCGTAATCAGCCAAAATAACCGTCCCAATCTATCATTTTTCTTGTAGTGTAACATTATGGAGGAGAGATCTTCTACCACGGTGTTAAGCAGACCGAATCATTCGAAGAAAGTTCTGATGAAGGGACTCCTGATGTAGGAAATATTGCAGGGACAAGCAAGATCACTCATAGCAGAAGAATCTTCTCTCCGGAGATTGCTCCTCCAAGGGCAATCTTCGGACCCTCAAGTGCTCCTGTGCCAGTCAAGATATTTGTGCGAAGTCCAGTTATTGAAGAACTTGTTACTCCCGAAGCTATACCCTCTGCCGTTACTGTTGATAAAGGTAAGGGGATCCAAGAAGCGCCCTTCAGGACGAGGGCTCAGACTTTGGTTATCCCCGAGACCACACAAAAGGAAATGGAGGATATTTTAAAGATAATTAAGAAAAGCGACTATGATGTCGTAGAACAACTGGGGAAAACCCCTTCAAAAATCTCTATGCTAGCTCTGTTGCTTTGCTTCGAGGCTCATGCCAAAGCCTTGATCAAATTCCTGAAGACGGCGCACGTGCCTCAAGAAACTTCTGCGGGTCAGTTTCAAGAGTGTGTAGTTAGCCTTACAGCCGACAATGGTCTTGGTTTCTCTGATGACGATCTAACATCTAAGGGAAGAAATCATAATGATGTGCTGCATGTCTCGGTAGAGTGCAGAGGCACCACTCTTGCTCATGTTCTGGTTGATACTGGGTCTTCTTTAAATGTCTTGCCTAAAAAAGCATTGGACAGATTGGACTGTGAAGGTTTGACCCTAAAGCCCAGTAATATCATTGTTAGAGCCTTTGACGGTTCTAAGTGGATGGTTCACGAAGAAGTGGACATCCCAATCAAAGTGGGTACGGAAATTTTCAACTCTACTTTTTATGTGATGGACATTCATCCTTCATATTCATGCTTGTTGGGAAGACCATGGATCCACAACGCTGGGGAAGTCACTTCTTCTCTACACCAGATGCTCAAATACCCAGTCCAGAACAAAATCATAACAGTTCATGGTGAGGAGGAGTATATGATAAGCCACCTTAACTCTTTTCGCTATGTGGAGTTAGATGGTGAATTCATAGAAACACATTTCCAACACTTTGAAGAGGTTTCTCCTGAAGTTGCGGTAGCCAAGACAACGACTGTTGTGCCCATCATTACCAAACCTGTGTCCCGGATGTCATCCCTTAAAGATGCAAAGGCTGTGATCAAGGAAGGAGGAAGCACAGTATGGGGTCAACTTCCAGATTTTCCTTACAAGACAGATAAGTTCGGTTTGGGTTTCACTACTGCTAGTCAGAAGGCCGTGCGTCACTGCCGGGCTGGAGGACCGCCACTGAAAATCACTCATCATGGAGTTCATGCTTTAGAGGATGATGAAGAAGAAAGCAATTTTGAAGACTGGATCTTTCCAACCATTGAAGGAGGACTTAACAACTGGGAGGCGAAAGACTTTGTTCCCATTACTTTCATCAATCAGTAATTTATCTTTTGAACATTTCATGTTTGGTTTGTAATAATTATTAAACAATTTGTACACTCTTTTCGCCTTATGCCTTACCCGGGGCATATAGGTCCATTTGTAAGGGTTTTGATTCTTCATTTTCAAATGCCATTTTTAATGAATCATGGACGTTTTCATATATAAACTTTTGTGTTCATTTTATTTCTTTTTACATTTTATTTGTTTAAAGGTGGTTATCCCTTACACACACCCACACTCACAAAATGCAGGTACCCATCCACTCCGGATTCCATGGGTAACAATTCTGCTATGGCCTTCGGTGACTCTGAAGATCTGGTCAATCATGCCGAATACGAAGGTGATGAAGACTGTGAAGTGCCTGGAGAGTTGGATAGACTTTTGCAACAAGAATAAAGGGCTATTCTGCCCCATGAAGAGTTGTTAGAGACTATCAATTTGGGTAATGTCGAAGACAAAAAAGAGGTTAAAGTAGGTGCCAACCTGGAGCCAAGTGTCAAAGAGCGCTTAATTTAGTTGTTGAATGAATATGTTGAGATCTTCTCCTGGTCCTATGAAGATATGCCGGGACTGGATACATATATTATGGTTCACCGTCTCTCTACAAGAGAAGGTTGTCCACCAATTAAACAGAAAGTCTGACGAATGAGGCCCGACATGTCCGAAAAGATCAAAGCTGAAGTGATGAAGCAGTTCAATGTTGGCTTTCTTGCTGTTACTTCCTATCCATAATGGGTTGCTAACATTGTGTCCGTGCCTAAGAAGGACGGAAAAGTCAGAATGTGCATGGATTACAGACATTTAAATAGGGCTAGCCCTAAAGATGACTTTCCACTACCGCACATTGACATCCTGGTCGACAATACAGCTCAGCATAAGGTATTCTCTTTCATGGATGGACTTTCATGGTACAACCAGATCAAAATGGCCCCCGAAGACATGGAGAAGACTACTTTTGTTACGCAGTGGGGTACCTTCTGTTATAAAGTGATGCCATTCGGACTAAAAAATGTCGGGGAAACCTATCAGCGAGCCATGGTAGCTTTGTTTCATGACATGATACATCATGAGATTGAAGTCTATATAAACGACATGATAGCCCGGTCACAGACAGAAGAAGAACACCTCAACCATCTGCAAAAGCTGTTTGTCAGGTTAAAGGAATACAAGTTTAGAATGAACCCTAGCAAGTGCACTTTCGGAGTCAGGTCCGGTAAACTTTTGGGATTCATCGTCAGTATCAAAGG